GTAATCTTCTCTTGTACTGTTTGTGATTTTATTTGGCTAAATTACTGTAGTTTATCATGTTAGAAATGTTGTATCAAGAGCTAGTGACAAATTTTCAATTATGAAACTGCCTCATAATACACTTTTTTTTTTTTTTTTTTTTTTTTTTTTAGAGTGAAGGGCTCTGACTTGTTCCCAAAGACTTATTTGGCCACCTTTTTTATTTTATTTATTTTTTTAATAAGGACTTCATATATTTGAGCAAAACAAAATATAACTTTTTTTTTTTTTTTTTTCCCCTTATGGGTAGACTTACCCATAATCTTACTGAGGGCCTGTTATGACTACATCAATAAGCCATTATTTTATGACCACCCACCTAATATTTAGTAAGTCCTCTGCAAAAACAGCACTGACCTGTCAAGACATGTCTGACTGAAGGTATCTTGTGGTATCTGGCACAAGCCACTAATAGATCCTTTTAAATCCTGTAAATTGGAAGGTGGGGCCTTCATGGATCAGAATTGTTTTTCTAGCAATTTGTATTGAGATCTAGAGAATTTTGAGGCCAAATCAACACCTCAAACTCATTGTGTTCGTCTAGCCATTTTGCGGTGTGGTACTGCTCGTTATCCTGCTAGGAGGCCACTGCCGACACAGTGTAGTAATCATTCTGCCTTGGCTTGAGAGGCCTTGGGCTGCATAGTAAGGGGAAGGTTTTCCCCTGAGTATTCATGTAACAGTACTTGGTAAAGCTGTTTTTACTTGTTAGAAGATCTGTATGTTGTTGAAAGTTGGGTATATGTTATACCAAAACATACTAGCTGATCCTTATTGTCATATTGGTTTAAAATTGGCTATATATTATGGAATATCTCGCCTCTTAGCAATGTGCAGTACTGTGTACACCTCTGACATTGATCAATACTATATGCTTTTGTTTAAACTTATAAATATTTAATCAGGGAATACAGTTTTTTGTGATAGTGTATTTGGCCAGCAGCAATATTTAGGTAGGTGGTACGTGTCAAATAAAATTTACATGAAGGCAGGACCTAAGGTTTCCCAGCAGAACATTGACCAAAGCATCACACTGCCTCCACCAGTTTGCCTTCTACCAACACTACATCCTGGTGCCATCTCTTTCCTGAGTAAATGATGTGCGCACACACCTGGTCATCCACAAAATGTAAAAGACGTGATTCATCAGACCAGACCAACTTCCATTTGCTCTGCTGTCCAGTTCTCATTGCATTCATTTTTGGCTGTGGACATGGCTCGGCATGGGCACCCTGAATGGTTTATAGCTATGCAGCCTCATACACAAACTGATGCCTATTTTTTTTTTTTCTACTTTTAACATGTCAACTTTAGGGACATGTTTAATTGGTGCGCAATATATCCCACCGACTTTCAGATACCATTGTAACGAGATGATCAATGTTATAACTTAACCTGTCAGTGGTCATAAAGTTATTGCTGATTGGTGTACATCATAATGGCTTTTTAAAATGACTTACAACGGACACAGAGGAACATCCTGTATTTTGTGCCCCTTGTCTCTATAGTCAACGTTGTCTTACAGGTGTTAGGCTGGTGTTCCCTTGCAATTAAAACATTTAAACTTGGTTGAATATCTTTCTGGTTTACATGTTGTGTCCTGAAACACTTTCCTGCTTAACATTTGATACATGTACATACTTGACAGTTAATTATGTTCTGCAAAAAAAGTCCTCTAGCTGGCATGTGTACAGCCTCTTCAAACCGTACCATATGTGACTCCACCAGAGTTAATGCAGCTAAATTGCAGACCCATCATACATGCATATACCTTTTTGTAAGAAAAGTTGTTTTTAGCAAATGCTTTTTTTTTTTTTTTTTCCTGGACATTTCCCAGCAATAAAGTAAATTGTGTTTCCCTGAAACGGAATATTGTAGGGCTATCTTCTAACAAACTTGTAATAAGCTATCTACTTTTAAAATTTCATATGGGATAGTAGGGACAAATGTCCCTACAAATAAAGGTCTTCCACCAAATACTGTTCATTTTGATTAAAATATAAGGCTAATAGGGATACTTAGTTTATGCTGTGAGGCTCTCCTGACAGTCTTACCCTAGCAACCTCACTGCTTCTGTATCTTTGGAAATTTGAAAGCTGCCCAATTTGGTCAAATGGGATGAATGTGGGTGATTGTGTAGGGGTCATCCGCAAACAGATTGCAGGAGGAACCCACTGAACACCATTTCTGTAGCAGAGCTGTAGGCCCTGTTCACATCTGAGCGACTCAGAATCGCACCAGAATTATGGCAAAACATTTGTGTTTGGGTGGTATTCATTCTTAATGGCACATTGAATGTTCCATTTAAAAGCAGATGTTTTGCCACATACACCATTGTGCCAATCACACATCTAAAAACGCACCACCATTGACTCCAAAAAGGGCCCAGGAGATACTTTGGCACATTTTTGGAGCTGAAATCAGGCCATTCAATTGAATGGTGTCTCTCCCAGAAAAACAAAAAATACTCTTTAGCATCGCGAGATGTGACTGTGTCCTGAAGGTAAATATACTGTAGTTTTTTGTTAATAGCTTCTCTTTAGAGCTAGGAGCACACAGGTGAATTTTTTAGTAACTGTTGTGCTACAAAAATCACTAGCAATTAATCGCAAAGAATTGGCGATCAACTGCTGCTCATATGGAACAAATGGCTCTCCATGGAATGTAGCTTTAAATGGGCGTTCAATTGGCAGATCTCCTACACCACACCAAAAAATTGTTTGCATCAGTTTGCGTTAATCTTTTTTAAACCTCAGGTGTCCAGATAATTTTTCTATCCACTTTTACCATCTTTTGTTATAATTTTATTTTTCTTACACTTTTGACAGTCTGTAAATACCCCTTAAACCATACCAGCACAGAGTAAAAAGATGGTGCGACGATTTTTTTTTTTTTGTTTTTTTTAATATATGGTGAGATAATTGCGCAAATGTTTTTTCAAATCCTTTTTTATCACAAACACATTGCTAAAAAAATTCATACTAAATCTAAAAATTAAAATTGTTTTGAGTTAACAAATGTTTGTAAATTAGGTCTTTTCTGCTTTCTAAATTGTGAAAATTATGCACAACACAGTTGCATAGAGCAGTTTGCACAATCTGGCGGTAGACTTCTTACGCATTGTGGTAACATGTGCGTCAGATAACACTGCCATACACAGTTGAATAAATGTAATTTTAAAAAAGCATCATGTATGGCCAACCAACAGCCTGTCTGCCCCTGCTCACTTCATCATCTTTATGGTCTTTGGAGCATCCATGAGCTTTCACTAGAAGGGTAGGCAGTTGATTTAAGTCTTGGCTGACCAGCTGCAAGCAATTCTGTTCAGCTGTGAGCCTTACATCAGTGGCAGCGAAAGTGTTATCACTGGTTTTGTAGAATGTGCAAAGTCTGAAGCAGTCAATTTTAGGTAGAATACTCGTTCTGGAGTAAACCTACTGTAGGTCTATACTCAAGGGGAAAAAAAAAAAAAAAGTATACAAAAACCCTCAAAACAAACCAAAATTAAGAAATAAAAACAAAATACACTAAAACATGTTAAACACACACACACCACGGGCAGACTTGATGGTCTTTTTTCTGCTGAGACTTTTCCAGGTTTGTGTAAATTATGAAAGGCTTTACAATCAAAAACCCATCTATAACATAGCCTCAGGGTCACAGAATGTCAGCTTTCAAAACATTATTTTGCTTATTGAAATACACCTAAAGATTTTTAATCAAAAGTGCACAAAACCTGTGTGGAGAGGGGATATGCTATCAGTAGGGTCCTTAGGAGTAAAGATTTGGAAGAATTCAAAATGAGAGGCCTATTGAAATGATTCATTTTGTTGCCTTCCATAGCTTACAAATATCCAAAGGTGCCGGCACAATATATACACCGATCATCCATAAAGTTATGACCATCCAATATTGAGTAGTTCCCATTTTTGCCACCAAAATTACCCTGACCCGTTGAGGCATAGATGCTACTGAACATCTGAAAGTATGCTGTGGTATCTGGCACCAATCTATCTGTAGCCTATCCTTTTCAGCCTTCATTGGTGGGACTAATTTTCCCAACACATCCCACAGATGCTTGACTCGATTGAGGAAAATGACTTGGCCTTCAAATTCTTCAGATCTCAAACCATTCTTGAACCAATTTTTGCAGTGTGCATTATCCTGCTGAAGGAGGCCACTGCCGTCAAGGAATACAGTTTCCGTAAAGGGGTGTACTTGGTCAGCATGGGCAATCTGTTCACTTTTGGTGACTATTGGTCATAAAGTTATGGCTGATCGATGCGAGGGACAGATTTTCTCTTAAGAGAAACTTTACTATTAACTACTGATTTGAGCTACATTTTTTCAATAGACCAGAAAAAAAAAAAACCTTCCGAAATGTAAAGTCAAGGCTCCTGCACCTTCCATTTATAATCAAAAATTAGAAGTTTATGCCCATTGATGGACTTCTGGCTTATGTTATGTGACACTTAGGACCATGGTACAGTCAGTTGCATCTTTTTACACACACCAGATGAATCTGTTTTGGAGCAAATTGAATTGACCTATAAAAAAAACTACTACTTTTTGGCCATGCTTGGTGGCCCACATGCAGCCTTGGACAGCTAGTTGGCCATTATCACCAGTTGTGAAATGTTACATTTAATGAAAGTTTAAACATGATATTCACTTCCAGTAGTGTTGCAGACCCTTTCTGGGGTTAATAGACTCACTATGAACTCTAAAAAGGCTTATCGGGAACTTTGAGGCAGCACCTTGCAGCTCAGTTAATGACTTTCTTTTCTAATTCAGCAATGCCATGATTTGGCACCTCCTTGTTTTCATGTACTATTTTTTTTTTCCACCTCCTGTCCTCTTCTTATGACAAGGTTTATAATGTTACTTGAGCTCTATTACTTGTTTTCAGCAGGGTGTAATGAATCATTAAATGTCTCCTGTATTGTACATACTTCCCTTAGATCTACGCCAGAGGACGGCAGCTCAAAGGAACTTAAGTGTGTCTACCCCTGTAAACCCCAACCAGGGATCTCCACAAGTTCCAGGGCTGCTGGCGGCAACTCCAGGTCTTCAAAGGGACACCTCAGCTCCTGGCGGACCCCCTGAGCGAAATGTTCAGCCAGGATTACAGTCAACCCTCGTACAGAGACGCCCTGGAACGCCTTCCCCTGCCATATCTGGAATGGGTAAACAGAGCACTTACTGTTATTTACAGTTTATATAGTTTTCTCTGGTTACCAATAAACTGGGTAATATTCAGACACCATGGAAATGGCATTTCATTTGGAAATAGGAGCACAGTTATCTGATTAAGCAGGAGTTCCATATTCAATTAGCCATAACTCTTTACAGCTGGCACCTTGTGATACTGAAGCCTATTGCTAGAGCTCGTTTAACTGTTATGGCTTCTTTGTTTAAATGGCATAAAACTTTGCAGTATTCTGTAGTCAACGATATACAACATACCTTTTTTTACAGCCCTGGGTTTAGGAAAGCTTCAGATTTATATGGATCCGTTATACAGGCAAACACGTCTAGAATATATTTTCGAACTTTACTAATACCTGCAGTTTTTAACACTTTTTTTTTTTTTTTTTTCCCCCCTGTTCTTTATTAGATCAGATTAAGTAAGCCTGCTTAAATAGCCTGTAGAAACTAATCAAATATCTGTCTGGTTAGATTGCAAATGTGGGCAATGGCTTATGAATGAATGTTTTAGCAGTTTTTTTTTTTTTTTTTTTTTTTTTTTTGTATGTGTGTGGTGGTGTAAAATGTTTTTACTTTATTGGCATGTTTACTTACTGCTGGAGCCAGCAGTTATGCTTAATTAGTCTGAAAAGAGCTGGTAATCAAATGTTGCTTCCTACAGCAAAGTAAATCTGTGAATGATGGATTTGAATTGGCCAATAGCTCTCTGGTGTATTTACAACGGAATAGAATGGATGGATCAAGTTGGATTTTTTTCTGGCCGATTTTGCTATTTTGGGATAAAGTTGGTTCAAGGGCAGTCCATTCAGTGCAAAAGTTGCATTATTAGCTTCTGGTGAACATACGTATTTTTGCACCAAGAGAATCGGTTCTTCTGAGCTTTATATGATATTTTCTTATATTTTAATAATTTTGGTTGCACCTACTGCACATTTAAATCTTGGGTGCTATACAGCTGGTGTATTTATATGCTTGAGAAATTACATGGCAAAGGCATAAGATTGGGACTTTATAGTTAATGGCACTATTCATATGTCTACAAGCAATACTGGAACAGCAGGGAAAAAATGCAGAGCTTACAGCTCATCATAGATTACACATGCAGTTTTAAATGCTTTTATGTGCAGCAAAAATTCAAGTATGAATAGGTCTTTATCACATTGCACTGGATCAAAATTAGTAACTAAAGCCAAGAATGTAAAGTATAGCAGGATGGTAAGCCTATACATTATCGTTTAGTGCAGTCACAGCAGTATCTCATGTACCACCCTTTTCAGATGATCACGTGCTTGTCCTTTATAGTAGGGACTGTGGGTGTGTTGCAGTGACACTTGGAATGCTACAAATCCCAGTGAGCTTTGCTGTGCCTCTCGTGGCTGCAGGTGGATATTGGCAGCCAGCTCTAATCCAGAGGTCACTTCTCTCACCAGCAGCTGTGAAGAACTTCAATGAACTGCTGTCACTGAAAGGGATGGGGGGAGGGTCTGGCTGTGATGCCATTTAATGTGAGGGTGACCAGCCTCATCCTGCTAGGTGACTACGCTGAGCTGACGGCAGAGTAAAAGGCTGCAATATCACACAGCTCTGCGCTTGTGACTGCTCCGGGGAAAGGGTGACAAACTTGTTTTAAATCTAGAAGCCAGCTTTTTTTTTTTTTTTTTTGCATAGCGTGAGTGCCTAGGGCAAGGCAACTTTTGTTCGACAAGCTTCATGCGATGCAATTTCCCACGCAGCAATCACAGCAAAACCACTGTGTTTTAGGTACCATTTGAAAATGACACTTGGACCTGCATTTTACGATCACAGCGCCTCTGCCACAATCCCAAAACCCCCAAATGTGAATGGAGCCGCCCTGGTTCACACACACATGCGATTCTGGATGCATTTTCAAACAGACTTGCCTAACAGGCTAGGTTTTGTGTTCCTATTGAAATGGTTCACACAGATGCGATCCACATGCATTGTGTTTCGAGTGCCATTATGGAAAGGGTCTTGTGAAGGTTTGTAGCGGTGTGTTCCAGACTCGCATGTGATGGTGGTATGCAGAGATAGGTGTTCACATAGGATTGCTATCGATAGGTGTTTTTGCATTGAAGTCAATGGGAGGCGTTTTTGCATTGAAGTCAGTCGGAGGCAATTTGTGAACCCAGGCATCAGGACGCAATTTCTAGCCACCATGGCGACCTGGTGCCTGTGATTTGTTAAGCCCTGGGTGATGGTGCTGTAGGTCCCCAGACAGCTTACATTGTTGTTACTCTAAAGCAAGAAGGCAAGTTTCAGCCATTTTACTGGCAAGATCAAGTGGTATGTTTTGCAGTGTAGAAAATGACAATAGAAAGCATTGCACTGTTTTGGTGTTTCATTGCTTTCTTCACTTTTTTTTTTTTTTTTTTTTTTTTTTTTAATCAATTTTACGTTACAGCATGGCTTGAGAGTCTGGTTGCTAAGAAAAGTGGAAGCTTATAGTGTTCTGTAAACCAAATCATTTTGCCATGTGATCTGTCTGCCTGATTTCAGATGCAACAATTTCACTGTCTGTCCTGTGCATTTAAATGACAGTTTGTGAATTGGCCAATTTCCAACGTACAGTTTCTGCCAAAAATGAATTGAAAGCTAGTGCTAGATAAGGTGTGTGTGTTGCAGACATGGGGTTACAAAGTAACCAAGTTGTCAGACTGCAGTTGTGGAAATGGATGTGTGACTGCTTTGCTTATCCATTGTTGATGTCTGGCCACTTACTGTGAGCTGAGCAGCTGGAATGCTTGTCCATCTCCAAGGCCGAGTAGCAGATGCCAGTTTATTAAATCACACACTCAGGTTTGCCAGACTAAGATGACTGGGTAAATCTTTAGTATATGCAATCGTCATTTGTACTGAATTGTGACAGAATATGAAACTGCTGACATCCTTTACACACAGGTTTTATATGCATGTTAATCATGAACATTTTCTAATTTTGCTAACTATTCGCAGTATAAATCTGGAACCATCATTGTGAATGTGTTGCAGATCAACAAATAGAGCTCATTTATAAAATAAAATGGCTTTGTTCATATCACACTATTTTGTGGAAGGAAAAATCAATTCCACCCTTGTTTGCTACTGTGTTCCCATATGTTGGAAAATTAATAACCAGCAGGTAGTTGAGAGAGTGCCAACCCAACAGAAATGACCATTCGTCCAGCAATGATTGCTTTGATGTTTATATTAATTACTGTTGTTGGTAACAGCGTGAGCAGCAAGATGCATGGCTGGAGAGGCCCATGACTCTTTCTAATGAAAGAAATGGCTACAGGGTGGAAAATTGCTTAAACCACTGGGTCACGCTATAGCACTGTGGTGATTTTTGTAGCAAAACTAGTATGTATATTCGTGTGTGTGTGTGTGTGTGTGTATATATATATATATATATATATATATATATATATATATATATATATATATATATATATATATATATATATATATATATATATATATATATAATATGCCTCTTTAAAATTTAAGACCGTTTCCAATCACTGCTGGTGTCTGAAAATGCCCAAACATAACTATTAATGCAGGTAAAAAAACTACATCCTCCATTTGAAAACTATCCTTTTTATGTTGTCTCAGTTCTGATTATCAACATGTGCAGCAATTTTAATCTAGCCTCTCTCCATCTGCTACTGGCAGTGTAGCAAAGTGGTATGATTTGTTTGAAAAGGTATCTTGTTGTAGATTGCATATCAGCTGAAATACAGGTAAAAGTAGTAAAGACTAGTACACACTATCAGAAAATCGTACAAAAATACTACTTTCAAAGTGATCCTATCTGATTGTACACAGCTTTTGACCGAAATTGATTGAAGGGACAAGCACAAAAAATTCTTGTACACTACCAGATCCTACAATGTTTTCTTTTTAATCAGGGTGATGGCTAGTCAAGTGCACATAAAAAAAAAAAAAAAACTACCTCCATAGTTTGGTGTAAGGCCAATTATTAAAGATTTTAAAGGATAATCTCACCTTTGGAAAATGTTACATGTTCCACCCATTTTTAGGGTGGAATATGTAACCTGTTCCCATAGCCGGGCCCCCCCGCAGAGTTCTGTGAATGAGTGCCTACAAGTCCTGACAGCCTTAGGGGCTGTGGGCTTGTAGTTTTCAATGAACTACCACAGTGCTGTGGCTCGCCATGGTAGTTCATTGAAGCTTCCTGACAGTATATCTCCTTGCTTGTACATCCCATCTACTGATTGGTGTAATGCTTTACAGACTTCTTTGGACAAAAATTTTTACCTGCAAAAAAATATGCATTTATTATTTTTGTCAAAAAGGTGAACTTATCCTTTAAATGCATGTACCTTTTAAATTTTAATGATAAAACCATTTATATTTGTGATCTTTCTAGCTATTCATCCACCAGGACCTTCACTGGCAAGACCAATTCTCCCACGAGAGAGGGGTGCCCTGGATAGAGTCATTGAATATCTGGTCGGAGATGGTCCTCAGAACAGGTAATGGCATCTAACAGAGTAACGTAAAGGGTATTTTTCATTTAGGTCTTCCTTTTTACTCCTTGACATTGTCTCCCATTTAAACCTATAATGAAATGCCAAAATGACTTTAGAGCTATAATGATGTATTAAATGGCAAAGGCTTGAGAGTATGAACACTGTTCATGTAGGGCGAAAGTAATTTCAAGATCTCCCTTATGGCCAACTTGTATAAAACCTTAAGGTGGGTCTATACTTGAAATTTTTCCAACAAGTCCGTTTGTGAAACGTCAATTGTTTTATTTTTTTTTTTTTTTGTCAGCGGAGGAGTCCTCACTGTCCTACAAGCTTATCTAGTTTACTTCATTCTGTGGAATTCTGTTAGTGATGTAGATGAAGTAAGAAACTGCATTGATTTGGCATTTGCACCATCCATGGTTATGTGAATTTTAGGACTGTCCGAATGCCTTCAGCACCAGTGTAAAAATGTTTCTGCCAGGTCTAGAATCAAAACGAAGAGTTGGTAACCTAATAACCAATATCGTTGTTTTGTGTGTGACCAGCTATGGTTTTGCAAGCCCTAATTGTGTTTTTCATGCAATGTTTTGAAAGAAATTGTTAAGACAACATGAAACTATTGTATATGCATAACACAAGGCAAATTTAAATGTAAAAAAAAAAATACTGGATCTATATTGGCATACATATTAGATTTCATGGATCATTAATACTTATAATAGCATTTCTATACCCATTAAATAAGCTGCAAATGTGTTAGTCAAGCAGTCATTAATTTGATCATCATTAAAATGGGGAGTGAATGAAATATAATCATGGCATTAAGAGAGTAAAGCTTAATAGCTTTTAAAATATGCTTTTGGGAGATGGAAAAAGATAGTAAGAGTAATATCTCAGATTCCTCTGATGAACATGAAAATGAGGATTGCGTTTTAATTCATTGCATTAGATTTTGTCATTTGTGTGCAGTAGTGTTCCACCTTCTTCCAACAATCCGTGCTTGACTGGAAGTCAGTTAAATGTAGCTGAAGGCATAGACTTAGATCTTGTTGAAGCTGCAGAACAAAATCATATCCAGGTTGTGCTCCGTAGGCTTCCCCACTTTTGTGGGAATAGACTGAATCACATCTGCTCAAACATGGTTACCCTACATTACTTCAGGGATGCTTGAGGAACTCCAGGGAAACCTCATGCACAGGTTGTGTTTATTAATTGAATCTCTAGGCAAATGTTTCTTCAATCAGGCTAAGAACACAATGTCATGAGGCAAGTACTGCTTCTTGCCTCAGGCTGTGCTCTTGAGCCGAGAGAAGGCACAGCAATTATGTTGATCTGTAGGGTACATGACTTGTATTTTGGCATTGCTGTGCTCCCTGTAAAGCTTTGGCTCTGTAATCTCTTGTAACAGCACATAGTTGTAGTATAGTTCAGTCTTAACTAATAGAGGCCATTTTAGAAATCTCAGGCGCCAAAACATGTAACAGCCCCTGCCAATAGATCAGTGAAAGGGGATGTCTGACTGGTTACTGACTGAAGTATACGTGTATCTGGTTAATCTGTTTTGTGGCATTTTCTTTATTGATATTGGTCTTCTTTCTAGAACTGTTTAGAGTACTGCCTTGGAGAGCTCAAATCAACTGGACTTGCTCAGACTTTTCTTCTTCCCCTTATTTTGTGTGTGTTTTTTTTTTTCTTATCAGATCTTTATTTGTTGTAAAAAAAGAAATTGTGTTCTAAACAACGCACGTCGTGTGCGCAGCACACTACAGTATTACAAAAACAATGGTCATACAATGAAAAATCCACAACATGTGGACATATGACTTACAATAAGTTAAACCAATAAACCAACTATTGTGTGGTTTTTAAATTGGTTGGTTATTTTTGGATTGTCTGAGACCATTCTTGGCTTTAGATCAAATTTCCAAATGAAGCAGTAGGCTAAAGTGAATGAGGGGGAAATCTTCGAGTGTCACACCTACTTAATTCCAGAAAAAGATTGTATAGCCCTTATGTTTTTCATGCTACTCATGTATAATGACCAATTTGTTGTGGCTAGGACAACCAACACTGATTCGGGTGATATATTTTTTCATTTTATATCAGTTTTATGTGTTTGAAGCTTTTTATTATGACTGTGCATTTAGTGTTAAAATAAAATTTTGTTTATAAAGGTATGCCCTGATCTGCCAGCAATGTTTTTCTCATAATGGCATGGCACTCAAGGAAGAATTTGAATATGTTGGTGAGTATTCTGCACCATTTAATTGTGACTGTGTAGACTTGTGGTAGCAACCATTTTTGTGTAAATTGAGATTTTCCTCAATATAGCTTTTATTTCAAAATGCAGCTTTTATTTTCGAAATGAGAATTGATGCTGAAAGTTTTGAATTTAAATTCTATCTTTTTTTGGCTACTTTAAAGTGGTTGTAAACCTTTAGAACGAAATGGATTGCTCATTTTTTTTAATGCATAGTGTGTACTGGCCTTGATCCTAAGCAGCAGACAAAAGTTACACTATCTGCATGAATCACCTCTGACAGTCTGTGCGGACACCAGGCAATCCCAGGAAATGGCCACAGGCACACAGCAGGTGATTGACACCTTAGCTGTGCATGTTTCCCAATGAGGCTGTGTAGATGGATGTGTCCATATTTTCCATCCAGGTCTCAGATTACACTCGGCTCTCTGTTCTATGCTGTGGAGTATGTAACAGATCCACGTGCTCTGCCTTTTGGAACTTTAGAAATGCTGTGTGGTATGGGAGCACAGCTACCAGTGCATTGGCCTGAGGGGAGAACAGCACTGGACTCCATGCACTGGTATGTATTTACATACAGGAACAATTACTGAGGAATGCAAAAACTGCTAGGTAGGAGTTGCGTTCCTTTTAGACGAAGATTCTTCATGAAACAGTCAAACTGCATTTGAAGGGGTTTGGAGTTTTTTTTTCTAAAATTTTGGCTAGAGTAGGAAAAGGTAAAACCCCTAGCTAATCATTTTCTGCTTTTGTGCCCTAATCTGCCCCTTTTGTGCTCTAATCTCCATTCACATGCACAGAATCTTATGACTATAAGGCTTGGACAGCTGAAGCTGCCTGTAAAAGGTGCCTTGCATGTATGTCTTTCCAAGGAAAATGTCTGATTAATTGGTCAAATGCCTCACGAAGCAGAGGTCACAGATGGAAAGGCTTTACTTCCACAGCAGAAGGTCCCAAAACCATCCTCAGTAGCCCCTAGCTCCACTAAATACAGAGCACCTGTCTGCTCTAATCATGCTTCAGCTTCTGATCCTAAGTTCTGCCCATCCTTTCAACAAAAGGCTTGGTCCACCAAGACTTTCCCAATGCCCTCTTCATATTTAATTAAGGGGCACCCTCTCCCAGAGTAGAGGGGACATTTTAGTTTTTCTGGGTCACAGATGTCCCAGACCTGTGTGTTCATTTTGTACCCCTTTGAAAACACCAATTGAAGTTCAAAACTCTACCAGCTCACAGTCTTTTAAACCAACCAAAAACTGCCCAAGGACAATTAGATTTGAAGAATGCCCTGAACCACCCTTTTCTGAATGCCCTAAACCACCCCTTGTCTCGAGGAGTTGTGCAGTATATCCACAAGACCAGTTCAAGGAATTCTACTCAAACCTGTTCATGGTGCTAAGATCGATAGGGATATTTGTTCTATTCTGGATTTTAAACCCCTAACCAAATTCCAAAATTTCACATGGAATCCGTAAAGTTAGTTATTGCCCTCTGCAACAAAGGGAATACATAGCATCTGTGAACATCAAGATGCCGATCAACATGTTCCCCACAAGCTACCTAGACCCTTAGCCAAAAAGGCTAGACATTCTTTGGAAATCAGAAAATATCCACAGGACAATTCACATGCTCCAGACCTTTTGGCTGATCAGTTTCGATAACTGTTCTCTAGCCTTCCTTTTCTTGAATACTTGGGTCTGGTCCTGGACACATCCCAAGAAGTCTTTTTCCAAGAAAAGATGTTCTTTTCTTAAGAGCACCTGCTTGAAAATCGAAATATAAGCAACATCCCACATTTGAGATTCTCCATGAGTGTTCTAGGCTTAATATTAGCCACCTTCAAGGCAGTACCATTTACCCAATTACATTCAAGTATTCTCCAACAAAAAAATCTTGTAAACCTGGAAAAAGCAGACTCATTCTCTTGATTTTTCCTATGCTCCCATCCAGCCAAGCAAGGAATTTGCCTTTCTTGGAGATCAATCACCACATCAGCCCCAACGGTGGGTAAGTTCCTTCCTTCCCTCCCCATCACTGAAAAGCAGATGCAGGTCTTTTAGGATGAAAGGCTCAGGAAGGATTGTTCAATCTTGAACAGTCCAAAGAACATAATTTAGGAAGTAGAGCTCCCCACCAACAGTTTGGAGCCTAGAGCAGTCAGATTGGCCCTGCAGCACTGGATACCCCTTCTAAAAGGGCACCTATCTGGGTGCAATCAGTGTTGGTCAATATAGGCCACTTCTACGTCAAGAGGGCACCATGAGCGTGGCTGCCTACATGGAAGTGAACCAGTTCATCTCTTCAGCACAAACTTGCTGTCCAGCGATCTGTGGTCACACATCCCAGAATTGGACAACCTGGAAAGCAGATTATATAAACTGCCATCAGCTGCTTCAGGAGGAATAGGCCCTTTATCCAGATGTCTTCAGTCTGGTATGCCAAAAATGGGTGATTCTGGATGTGGACATCCTAGCCTGTATATTCAACAACAAGCTACCTCTTTGTTAAAATAACCAGAGATCCTGTACGCTAGCCTCAGATGCCTTGAAAATCCCTTGCTCCCAATTCAGGCATAATTTATGGATTCCTTCCAATGCAAATCCTAACTTGTCTGCTCAAGAAAGAGTAAGTAAGGGAAGCAGTGATTCTAATTGCACCCTACCTCACCATTCCACAATGGACACAATTTGATTGTAAGAACTCACATTCTCAGAAATCTCCTCCTGTGCCTTTACACCCATTTTACCAGATCAGCAGGAGTGTTTTAGGCATTTCATCACCAAGCCTTTGTAGCCCAGTTGTGTGGAGTCACCATTTTTTGTCTTTTTTACCTTTTTCAAAATTTTCCAGGTTGACCGTACAGGACACCCTCCATTCCATTTTATGGCTTGCTCTCCATTGTTTGCTACAGAAGTGAAGCATTGTAGAGTAGGGTTATAGGAGAGGTGTCCGGGGGGGGGTGTCCTCTAAAGCTTTGCCAGTGTTCAATTAAATTAAAAAAAAATTAATAAACTACATATGTAAACTCCCTTGGGCAGTATCCATTTATTCTAGCCCCTGCCACTGTCATTTGGATAGCTTGCTCTTCATATACACACAATATAAATGAAGGCTTGCAAAATTTAAAAACGTAATATACTTGAATGCTGTATATAGCATGTATTAACCGCATACATGTACAGTCCCTTTTTTTTTTTTTTTTTTTTTTTTTTTAATTTTTTTCAAGCTTTTTGTTGCTGTACACTGGTGTGGAATGTCATACTCCTATTTTCTCTCCAGCATTTAGATGTGCATACTGCTATTTCCTTAACCCTGCAAGAAAAACACGGCCACAAGCGCCACGGCTTCAAGAGCTGAGCCTAGAGAGGCCGCCAAAAATGGAGTCTCAGGAACCCACTAGCACTATGCAGGTTGCCTCAGATGAGCTTGAAAACAAAACTTCCTCAGGTATGATAAACTTTTTTTTTTTTTTTTTAATTGTGTTATCCAAAATTGTATCTAACGACTCAACCTCTGGAAGGTTTACATCTTTCATGACCAGGCTATTTTTGTTGTTCAGCATTGTGCTACTTTAAATGGCAGCTGTGAGGTCAACGCTGTATGCATATGAAACTTTAGATCCTTTTTTTTTTTTTTTTTGCAAATGGAACTTTCTTTAATATGCCAGGACAGTACAGATGCTCCCCAAATGACCCCATTTGGAAAGTACAGTCTGAGGTATTTAGTAAAAGAGGCATGGTGAGGTTTTTTTTAAAAAAATAAATAAAAAAAAATTGTATTTTATTTTTTTCACCATGCCATACAGCATCATGACTGGTGAAAAATATAGACAGAGATCTCACACACTTACTACTACTATGGTGGGGGGTATGGTGTGTGTGTGTGTGTGTGTGTATGTGTATGTGTGTGTGTGTGTGTGTGTGTGTATGTATGTATATATGTGTGTGTGTATATATATATATATATATATATATATATATATATATATATATATATATATATATATATATATATATATATATATATATATATATAGTGTGTGCGTATATACACACACACACACACACACACACACACACACACATATTGTCTTGAAAGTATTTATACCCCTTGCAATTTTCCACATTTTGTCATGCTACAACCAAAAATGTAAGTGTATTTTATGTGATAGACCACAGGTGGGCGAATCTGTCCATAGGACAACTATTGTGCACTATGCCAATCTGGCCTTTATGGAGGAGTGTCAAGAAGAAAGCCATTGTTTAAAGAAAGCCATAAGAAGTTCTGTTTGCAGTTTGTGTGAGAAGCCATGTGGGGGACACAGCAAACGTGGAAGAAGGTGCTCTGGTCAGATACCAAAATTAAATATTTTTTTTTGGCCTAAAAGTAAAACGCTATGTGTGGCATAAAACTTAACACTGCAATCGCCCTGAACACACTATCCCCACCGTGAAACATGGTGGTGGCAGCATCATGTTGTGGGGATGCTTTTTTTTCAGCAGGGACAGGGAAGCTGCTCAGAGCTGATGGGAAAATGGGTGCAGCCAAATACAGGGCAAAAAAGAAAACCTGTTAATCTGCAAAAGGCTTGAGACTGGGGCGGAGGTTCACCTTCTAGCAGGACAACGACCCTAAACATACAGCCAGACCAACAATGGAATGGTTTAGATCAAAGCATATTCTTGTTAAAATGTCAAAGTCCAGACCTAAATCCAATTGAGAATCTGTGGCAAGACTTGAAAATTGCTGTTCAGACTCTCTCCAACCAATCTGACAGAGCTTGAGCTATTTTGCAAAGAAAAATGGACAAAAATTTCACTCTAGATGTGCAAAGCTGGTAGAGACCTCCCCAAAAAGACTTGCAGCTGTAATTGCAGCAAAAGGTGGCTGAATACAAATGCACGTCACTTCTCAGATATTTATTTGAAAACCATTTACCATTTTCCCTCTCTCCATTTTGTGTTGGTCTATCTCACAAAATCCCAATAAAATACATTTATGATTTTGGTTGTAACATGACAATGTGGAAAATGTCAAGGGGTATGAATAATTTTTCAAGGCACTGTGTGATGGAGAGATCACAATTACATGATCCCCCGGCTGCCTAAAACATCCAACTTTAGCGCAAAAAAAAAAAAAAAATCTAATGTTCACTAAAATTCTACGTAGAATATTTCATTGTTGCCTCCCCCCCCCCCCCCAAACAAAACTACCACTGTGTCCCTGTTGGATGATTTCTTCACATTTCCTTCCCAGGCTATTCACGTGCAACTGCTGCGTTTATTAAATGTGTTCTTCTCTGGAATTGTTTTCATATTCCTTTGGATGGTCCTCCAGAACTTAGTATAGTGGAGCTGGTTCCCTTGTTGATTTGTTCCAAAGAAGTGTACTCCAGGTGCAGAAATGTCAGGATGTTCAGCCCATAGTTTTCAAGTGGACCCTGGAAAAGAAGTGATCTCACAAAATGTGGGACAGATATGAAAACCTTGATTAACTATTTTCTGGAGTGCTCATTCAACAAATTAGGTGACTTTCTATGTTGGCTTAGGAAATTTTTGTTTTTCTAGGGCTTCATTTTTCACAATAAGATTCCCTTGTGTATGGGTAGCTTTAGATATTAAATGTCCTATGATTCTGGTTTTATGTTTTTAGATGCATCAGAGGAAGGAGAGACTCCAAGTCCTATAGAGGCAGAGGAAGATGTAGAAGATGAGGCTCCATGTGCTGACGACTTGCCTGTTGTAGCAGAAACCGATGAAACCCCAGAAAACGCAGCAAAGGCACCAACAAATGAAAGTGAAGATTCTTTTATGGAAACAGAGTGAATGTCATATGTGCCCTCATTGGATTATGGCAGCTTCCTTCTCACAAGTTGATTCTAGTGGGATCCCATGATTTACACACCATTTGAAAGTTATCTTAGCTCTGTTCACTATCAGAATGTTGTGCAACATTTATGAAATGTACTATCGTATAGCACGTGGGGATTTATACTAGACCTTTAAACAACCTTGTCCTGCTAGGGTTGGCCTAGATGTGCTGCTGGCCCGATCAATCTAGCATGGAGAAAATGTACACAATCCTTTTTTTTTCTTTTTTCTTTTGAGTATTTTTAAGGTACTAAGCTTTCGGGTTTATTTATTTTTACATATTGTAGTGGAAAGGCTGGGAAATCTAGTTAAAAGGATTTTGTACCAGGGATGTAATTTTAAATTGCAAATGTATGTGAAATGTCTGGATGGAAATGTGGACCACAATTCTATACAAGTGTACACAAACACCTCCAAGCAAAATGTCTTTTATTAAATAAGGAGAACACTTAACAGTATTTTATAATGCAGATTCAGCAGAAAATGTCTACATGTCATTCTGGGACAGTACAGTCCAGCTACATGTATTTGCAGTTTGATTTCATGTTTACATAATGTAACATAGGAAGAGCTTTTATTGTACTTGAATAGTGAACTATATTTATACTTGTACAATGATGGTTCACAAGTCAGTTGTTGTGCCTTTGTGTGTGTTTTTTTTGTGTTACTTGTAAATAAAGTCAGATTTATTTAGCATGCGTGCTGAAAATTTAAAGAAAACATTTTCTATGTGGCTGCCAATAAAGTATGTGTTTTTAGCATACTATGATTGTTTTCAACTTTGGCTAGAACAGGTACAGGTGCACATTAAGGCCACAGAGCTAAATGCAGATTGGTGCAGGCACCTTGGTTTCTACACACATACTAAATCTACAACTCACCTGGCTTTCTTTTAAAAAAAAAAAAAAAAAAAATGCTGTTGCAATGCAGGGAAAAGCAACCAGGTCTCTCCCTGATTAGTCTAGTGCAAACCTTTCTCTTCTCTCCTACCTATTGATTACAAATGGGGGGCCAGTAGAAAAGCAAGAGCAAGAACATGCAACTACATAGCAGCAGATGAACTAAATTTGGATGAACTACTTGTCTGTGGCCAGGGCAGCTATAGATGAACTACTTGTTGTCTGTGGCCAGGACAGCTATAGGTTTGCATTTTAAAGTCTAAATTTGGTTTAGATAAAGACTGGTTAGTTGACACCACCTTCCTTTTTTCTTTTAAACCATTTTTGCAGACGTTTCCTCATTTATAGTCATATTGAGAAATATTTAGGTTGTCAAACTGCTACATTTATCAAATTGCTTCAGAACTTTGTCACTGACCCAAAATTAATTATGCAAACCCAAGTTCTTTGACTTTAATGGCTGTGGGCATGTTTCGGGTCATTGAATACTGAATCATGAAGCAATTGGGTTACAAGAATATTCAGGCGTTTGTCAACGATGGCAACTAATAATTCTTAGTATGGGTTTTTGTTCATTCTGATCACATAAGCATCCTCTTATTTAAACTCGAAAGAGTAGGGCCCTCTTGCCCTTCGTACGTTGTTTGTTATTGTTGTACTGTGCCATGTATTGTCCCCCCTATATTGTACAGCGCTGAGCAAACCCTTTGGCGCAATATAAACTCAATGTAATAATAACATAGTTTGCTTTAACCAGGTTTTTCAACAAATTATGCCACTGTCAGTTTCCCCTCAGGGGATTAGTTCTACTCTTTAAATTGGTAAAGCAGATCTATGGAAGCCATTTAAATGAGGTTGCATTACATCCGATGCTTTACTCTTCTCACATTCTATTTTCCTGCCTTTTGGTGCAGAAAGTGCAGATTATGGTATCCAGCCCCATAAGGAAACACTACATTAGGTCATACCGTTCTAAAAGTATAGTACAAAGTGGAACGTAGGCCTTGTGTGAGCTAGTATGGGATCATTTGGGGTCCTATACTGATTTGAGTGTGAGATTTGCTCTTCTACACAAATATTCGCAATCCTAACATGCAGCAAAGGAGAATTTGATTTTTTTGGTCATCATGAATATGATTACCTCATTTGTGTTACACTAGACTTTTTTTTTTTTTTGCTTTATAAACATACTGATCCATAAACATTAAAGACATGTTAGAGAAAATTGCCGCATTCAGCAGATATCTCCGATGTGTCCCTTTTAGTATATGCCAAATCTTATTCTCACTTAGGGGCAGTATACACAAGTAATATTTGTACTTGGAATAAGTTTGATATGTTTTCCTTCTCTGCTTTGCATCTGTACTGTATCTCCTCTGTTGCTGGATGAAACCCTGAATGACAAATAGAACAGGGGTTGACTGATCCTGCTCCCACTGGATACTTTCCCAGTCATAACCCTTGTTGTAAAGCTGACTGTGCTAACTTACAGACTTGTGGTGGAAGATTCATCTCCCAAGTGTAGTGGAGGTCCAATTTCTGGTGCATTGGCATATGTTGAACAGGACCCTCATAGGTGCCCATTGATCAAGAAGGCAACTCCTAGAAGCTACTCAACACTTACACAAAAGCATTTTCATCCAACCTGTTATAGCTTCTTTTAATGCTCCCCCTTTGCCTTCTGGATTATATTACTGCAGCCCAAGACTTCTCTTTTGGTTTCACATGCAAAACCTTCATTTGGCACTTTCAAGCATTGCCCATGGTTTCTAAAATTATCTCATCCTCTTGCAGCTGCCTTGTGTA